AAGGATTAACACAATGCACGAGTCAAATATGCCTACAATGCTCTGATAAATCCTAAGAGTTCACTGACAACAGATGTTCCGTGGCCCATGTAAGTATGCTTAAATATTTACAATGTACATATATTAGATATAAAAACCAGATTATAGCATGTTTTTCTTTGATGTTTTAGGATATAAGTTTTTATAAAGTTATTTTTATCCATTGCAATGTGTAGACATTTTAAATTCCAGGGACAGTTTGCTTTTTGGAAATCTTACCTGTATAGAAGCATTTGGCTAGATGCTGCTATTATTTTTTTTGACAGATCTGACAGGATAAAATGTATTTATTCACTACCCACTGTGTTAATATATGATAGGAAGAGGACTGAGAACCTCACCTTGGAAGCAGAGCTGACAAAGCTTGTTTTGAAAAAACCTGGGGAAGGTGACCTGAAACCTCCTGCTGCAGATAAAAAGTTGCCTCCACGTGACATCTGCTTGTTACAGGGCTGATACGATGGAATCATGGAGCCAATCAACTCAAAGCTGCTGTTGTGGCTATTCTCTTTTGCTAGTGTTGGTAGAGAAAATGAATCATCATCCTCTAAAAAATAAATAATAATAAAAAATACAGTGTTTGGTTTTTTGTGACCCAGTAAAACCTCAAGGCACTATTTTGCAACTCTGACACCTTGCTAAAAATTCATTATTTTGAGCTCATGTTGGATTTCTTTCCTCACAGAGGATACTGAGTTTAATCTTATTGATTTCTGACTGTTTCTATATTTTTTCCAGTATCATTTTGAACTTTATTTTCCTCTGTATTTTTTCAAGCCCTCCCATTTTTTTTTTTCATCAGTCTAAACTTTTATAATCATACTGTATAACTATTGAAGTGATGAAATAACAAAAAACCTTAATACCCAGCCCTGAAATGGAAACTTTTACATGTGCCATGTGAAAAAAATGCCAGTTATGGTCACAGTTCTGCTTTACCTAACTTGCTAGGTCCTTTGTCTGCAGCTTCTTCCATTTCAAGTTTCTCATCAGGAAGAGAGTATCTGCAATTCATTAAACAAAATGTATGTGCCAAGATTAATTGCTATTGTCTGTCAAACCTAATTGCAAAAATCAAGGTAACACACAAAAATACATCTAGCACACTTGGATTAAGAAATGGATTATTTCTACTGAACAAAAATTACAGTCCTTAAGTTTTTAAAATAAAATATATACGTGAAGGCACATATAACTACTGGAACAAGACGAAAAAAATACTTTAAAAAAGTACTTTAAATCAAAACATGTACATGTATTGATCCAATTTAAAACTGTTCAGGCACCATTTTTAAAGCTTGGTTCATTTACCCCATTTTTGAGGAGCTGTCCTTAAAAAGCATCAATGTAGACTCTGTTGAAGCTGGTTTGGGAACAGAATCACTGCGTACAGATTTCTCCAGCTTTTCTCCATCAACTGATTCTTTGTCCGTTTCTTTATCACCATCTTCAACTTGTTTCTCTTCTATATCTTCATTATCTTCCTCTGCTTCATCAAGCAGAAATTCCATATGCTAAAAAACATCCCCAAACACAGCAGAGATGTGGTGATTATTGCTTTGATCTGGTCATTTCCTTCCATACTTCTCAAGAAAACACTTTCAACATACAGAGGATGAAGCTGAGTGACACTCACAGTTCTTACATCCACCTGTTCCACTCTGAGACAACTGACAGAGGTGTTTGAAACAGCCAAGCTACTCTGATCATTTTTAAAAAGGCCATGACAAACCCTAGCCTAGATCAGGCAGGTGACCTCAGTCTGTCCCCTGCTGGCAATGGGCCAAGGATATATATATATATATAAGAATAAAGTGGTACCAGAAACTTTTATACACATATTTGGTTTTAAAACTGTTTAGACAAATAAAGAAAATACTAATAAATTCAGTTTTAGACAATCCAAACCCTGAACATGCCAACTGCAGCAATTTTTTAGCTTATGGGAAGAATTCATTAGCAGTTTCCCTAATATTAATAGTATATAAGAGTCCAGTTCCACTGGGGAGAGGCAGAATTGAGAAGCTGGCTAGGTTATGTGGAAACATTGCTCACAGACCTCATGATTGCTTTCTTCTTCTTCCTCAGATTCATCTGTCATCTCTTCCTCCTCTTCCTCTTCCTCCTCCTCCTCCAACATTTCCTCATTATCCAGTTTAAACAAAGCTTGCCGCTTCTGGCGTTCCTCAGTCCTGCGGAGTTTCATGGCCTCCTGGAGTTTAGCCTTCAGCAGTTGTAGCTTTTCACCTGGATAAAAAATGAATAAATTAATACATTAGCTGTACTACAGTGAATCCTTAACTCCACTGCCTTCAAGCATCCAAGCTAATGTAACTACACACATAAAAAGGGAATTAAAAAAAATTACTTGGTTTTAAGTGTTTTTATTAATTGATCTGCCAGCTATAAGAGCTAAAGCAGTTGGATGCAATGAGCTCAATTTAGAGGGACAACACAATCTCATGAATTATCAAGATTCCTCATTATCCATAAATGCAGCACTCTGAATGAGAACAGGGTCTGTCTCTCCACTGTGTCTTTTGGGAACAGGAGCATCCAATTGCCATAGGCAGATGTGTTATAGCACATGAAATAATTAAGAGCAGCTAAAAATAACGTGTGTCAACAGAACCAGTCAAATAATCTATTTCTTTTAATGGATGCTATGGGAGAGGCACGTTCTACACATTGTTTTTGAGTGCAAATATATACAATTCTATTAGAAACTGCAGAATAGAAATAAGGAAGCATGAGAGATCTAATAAATGGCAATAGTTCACAATAAGTCTGAGAGTCACATCCAGAGGCTGGTGGAAAACAACAGTGTGGATATAGGTTTATATAAAATTTTGGTATAAATGGGAAGAAATCCAGAGAACCAGTCACAGAGATCTGACTGAGGCTGTTCTACACTGGTCAGTGCTATTTAAGAGGTCTATTGAGATTCTTTTTTAACACAGGGCTATCCATGAGAGGGAACAGCCATAAGAATTCCACAGCTGAAGATCCCTTCATCTGTATTTCATATTCATGGGGCAGCACTGAGAAAGGAGGAATAATGAGAGAGAAAAAAGGACAAAGTGTTTTCCAATTCAACCATCATCACTTCTCCTCCCAAACCGACCTGGCTTGGCATGGGCTGTTTCATCCAGGCTCTCTGCAGCTAACACTGCTGGTACCACATCTGCTTTCAGCTCCTCTTTGCCTTCAGGTGTAGTCTCCTTACGAATAATGTTCATGTTTATGGTCCGTTCAGCTTTGGAGTTTGTCGTTCGAAGGGTGTGCTTCAAGAAACGTGCTTTCAAGGCTTCTAATTCTTCAAATACATATTCATTTCAAAATGGAAATTAAATTAATTTGATAGCATTTAAAAGCATTGAGTGTTGAGTTGTATCAAGAGTAGGTCTTGGGAATTTTTTTTCAAAGGAAGTTAGTTAAAAACCTTAAATCTTTGTATTAAAATATTTGCAAAACCATTCTATTCTAATAATAGAACAATAAATCATTACAGAATATTTTTTCCTGTAACTTGTACTTAGTTGATATTAGCCAATATTAAATTACCTTACCATTGACAATGCACTGCAGCAGAATGGAAATAAATCATACATCATTAAATAGTTATCACTTCGAGCTTTCAAATATTAAGGACTCAGAACTTCGCTTTTAAACATTAGCTGAAAGAAAATGGATATCAAAGAACCCCTACTAGTAACAGAACGTGTGACTGTTCTATCACCTGCACATTTCTGAGAGGTTTAAAGTCAGATTAACTCTGCTTACTTGGACACATCTGACAGAATTACACCAATAAAAGCAATACCTTTGTTTGAATCAGACTCATCGAGGTTTATAAAGGATTCATCACCAGAGCAGATTCTTGGCTTGACGGACAGATCTATTCCCAGTTCACGAAGTTTATCCAACTTGGACTTCCTCACTTTGTCAGGCTGTGCCTCCAAGCCAGGCCCCACCTGCTGATTGCTTTTTTCACATTGTAAAGCTGGTGCTGTTTCACCTCTTTGCTCAAGGGCATCTCCTCCGATTGCCAGAGGAATTTCATTCTCTTTTTGTTCACTGCAATCAGTGCTTAGGAGGTTAGAGTGCTGCTGTTCTTCTGTATGATTATCAGTTGTTACAGTCCCAACTGCATGAGAATCATCACTGTCCTGCCTGGGCTTTTCAGCAAAGTCTTCTGTCGAGTTCTTCCCTGCATCAGCAGGAGGCTTGTTCACAGTGGTATCATCATCTCTGCCAGGGCTTGTTTCTGGTTCATTAGATGCTGATTGATCACTTTCTATTCTCCCATCTTTGCAATCTGTGCTCAAGCTCTTAGTGTCTGCAGATTCTTCATTTAGGGACAGCTGGTATTTAGTGGACCTAAGAAAGGCAGAAAGAAATATATCACCCATGGCTATTGTAAAATAGGGGAGAAGAGGTTGAGAAGAAACTTGGAGAGGAATAAATAATTTTCTAATTATTGTCATTAATGTGTAAGGAAGAGGTGAAGGACAGAAGTCTGAAAAACTTCATTTTCAGGAGATGAAGAAGCAGAAATGTAAAGAGTTTGTACTAGTTAGTCACATTATCACAGTATAAAATTCCCAAGAGATTCTGTGGCAACAGCAGCTCAAGTATTTTACTACACATTACTCAAAAGCAGAAATAGTCCAAGTACAGTGTTGTGGTCCAGTCTAAACCACTTTAAATTAACTCTACATGAGCATCTTACTTCATCTGGAGCTACCCCTAGTCCCTGATTACTTCAATGGTACAACTGTGTCAAGAGTGCAACATTGCCTCATGTTGACAGTGACATACTCCTAATTTCCAAGTGTTCACAGAATTAAAGGAGCATAAGTTTCTTATTAAAACTTTCCAGTCAAAGCAACAGCTAAAATTAAACAAGAAACAGGATGTGACTGTACACAGAGCAGGGTGTGTATGACACAGAACGCCCACAGTGTGCAAAGGTCTGGTTATCCTCAAAAGCAAAGCTGGGATATCCTCAAAATATATGAAACAACAAATATGAGGAAGGTTTAAGTCCTTACTTCAGCAATGCCATGGCATTTCCCTGACATACTGGTCGAGGTCGACGCCTGAAGAAGTCATGAATGCTTTTGGTCTCAGGCACATGATATGGGAGAGACACAGATGATTCTACCAAAGAAAGGAGGTGAAAGAAAATTGTAAATGTCATACAAGGCATTTATTTGATATCTCTGAAATTCACAGAAGCCTGACACAAGTATTTTGCAGCAAAGACATCTGACTATGCACAAACAGAACAGTTGTTTAAACTTGAATACAGCAAACACTGTTAAGAGTTCCAACAGGAACAGTAAATTCTTTGTTTCCCCCTTGAATTTCTTAATAATTTATTCCCCTCTACATACAAAGAATTTAAGTTTTACCTCTAATAAGTCGTTGGGTCTCACTATGTAGTTGTTTAATGGCTTCTTTACTTAACCTTGCTGCTTTCCGCTCCTTAAGGAAAGAAAAGAGGCTTCTGAAGTCAGAAAACAAAATATGGGACTCTGGCTGTACTTTCTAAATAGCTTATTTTTCCCTTTCAAACAGAAAAGAGTCAGAATAAAGCAGCTAGTCAAAAAAAAAAATATTAAAAATAATAAATCAACAAAAAAAAACTGGATAGTGAGCATACATAAAACTACAGCAAACAATGGAGAACTTTAAAAAGGATACTTCACCTTCCTTTTTGGTTCTTTTAAAACAGGTTCCTCATTCTCATCATCAAATCCATGTTTGTAGCCTTCACCCTCAGAAAACCGTTCTTTGTTCTACAGTGCATAAGAAGAGATTCATTTATTAATCTATTAATACACAGGCACTACCAAGGGCAAACAAGTGAAAAGGAAAAGATAATGGTACCAAATCATCATCATTGGTCAGCAAAACCAGCAAGCAGTCTCATAAGCCAACACAAATCCCAAATAATACTTAGGGTAGATTTCCAAAGCTCCTGCTACAGCATGATCTTTATAACTTCCCAAGAAAACATCCCTCCTTAAGCAAAAAAGCAGAGAACTATTCTCTCCTCTGTCACAGTTGAAGTGCACCGTTGTCCAAAAGAGTTTTAACACATGCTGAGGTACAACACTTCCCACTAATAACCAACAATCCTGGATCACTATCAAATGTTACCTTATATTTTTTAATCTTGTTTTTCACTGCTGCTCGTATCGATTCTATCGACTCCTCATCCTCTGGGGGGTAATCGTTTTCCTCTTCTAAGCCATTGTCAAAAAGTTCTTTGTCATTAAGAAGACATCCACTGTCATTAAAAGGATACCTCTCACCACCATCTACCTGTTTGCCACAAGAATAAAGTATTTGTGTAATTAATTTCAGAAGGTCCCCATCAGTTCTTTGACATATTTAACATCACTGTCAACAGGTCTTGATGACAGAACATACAGTACAAGGCATCTTTAGCACCTTGTGTGTGCTGCAAGTTTTATCCACTTCATAGCACTGCAAAGCTGATTAGGTAATTCATGGAGCAGTGTTCCCTATGTCTATGATAACCAGGGAATTTCAGTAATTACTGAAATTAATAGCTCAGATAATAAATTAACACTTGAAATATGGATTTTATAAATAGCAAAAACACACGACCTCCCAAGCAGACATTTATTCAGACCAGAATTCTAATTTGAAAGTAGCCCAAAGCTTCCTCCAGAAGCTAGCAGAGCACTGCAGAGAAAAGCTGAAAATCAATCAAAGCCATTTGTGCACCTAACAAACACACCCAAAGAACTCAAAGAATTCCTGTCTGGCTTAACGGGCACTGATGTGAAATCATCAAGCACTAGGGTTTGTACTTTCTTTAGATGAAAATGGTAAACTCATCTGGTGTTCCGTGGATCCCACACCTGCTGAGGGAATGTGGACACTAGCAATGCTGAAGCACTGAAACACAATAACCAAACCCAGTAATAAACTAAACTTAGTTGAGAAAACATCTGAGATTTTTCTGCCAAAACATATATATACCTCTGCTCTAGGCTTTTCTTTTTTCAGCTCTTTAATGGACTCAATTATTCTCTCCTTCTCTTTTCTTCTTCTTGATTTTCCCTCTCCAGCTTTTTTTACTGTCTCTTCTTCAAAATCACGTTTATGTTGTTTACGTTTTCTGTACTTTTTCCCAGATTTTAGGGGTCTCTCCTCTTCCAACTGATTCTCAGACTTTCTGCTTGTCTCAAGGTTTTCAGCCTGCAATCGGTCACCAGTGTCACTGTCATCACTATCGAGCAGACCTTGGCAAATCCGATGAGGTTTCTTGTTCCTCTGGGCAGTAATGTTCTCTTTTTCCTCTCCATTTTCCTCATCTCCACCTGGAATATCATTGTGCACAACAGAGCCACCATCCTCTCCATCTTCACTCTCACTGTCCTCAAGGACCTTCTTGCTTTTTGCTTTTTTACGTACAAAAATCTCTTCCTCTGAATCTGACAAAATATATCAAAAGAAAAGAAATTTTGCATGGTACAAAGGGGAAAACTCCACAGATTAATTAACAAACAATCAAACATCAAGTTGCATATCTGTTAAATTTCACAGAGGTCAACATCTATAGCAAATCATCTTGAATTCAAGTTTTCAAAATCTACTTCTTCTTGTTAAATTGACCCAAATTGATGTTATAGGTTTTTAACCTTTACAAAAAGGCAGAGCTGAAAATCCTTCATTGACAGATTACTGACAAGTCTTGAAATAGTAACAAACCCCACTGTAAGTAGCTAAATAAGTACAGAGGTTAAACGAATCAAAAAAAGAAGTGAAATAAGCAATAAAGGCACTTGTATTGCATTTACTATTTCCATTTCTGTGCCTCAACTCTCTTCAGGGATTTCCAGATCTCTGCTCACATTTTGAGCAACAAGAAAAGCAGTCTGGATTCCTACAAGTCAAGCAATGACAACTTCCTAAAGAGGTATTTATAGAACAAAAAATGCACTGCTGAAGACAACCAGCACCAGGCACGACTCACGGCAACATTACAGACCTCTGTCCTCCAGAGACGCCAGCTCCTTGCTGAAGTGACCTGGAGAGGCTGTTTCACAGCTGCCCTGGCCGCTGTCAGAGTCGCTGTCAGGGGTTTTCTGCAGCTCTGAATGCAAATCTTCTAATGGAAGCTACAAAGCAAAGGCAAAATCTCCTTATTTTGGTGTTATTTAGGG